TTCTTGGGTCTTTCAGTAAAGTCACATAGATAGGTTCAAAGAAAATTAAATTTTTAACCGATCTACGTGACTTTACCGAAAGACCCAAGAATAATGATTACCTATTGCGTTAATTTCAATGAATAAAGACAACTAAAACACTGCAAAAAATCACTATCATAGTTGGAAAACACAAAAGGAATGCGTTTTTTATTTCACCACATACCGGTTTAATTTGCAGTTCCGGGAATTTGGTTCATGCGCAGGTCATACAAGTCACATTGGTTTGCCTCGCAAACCTGGCCACGTGTGTATGCTCATAGCATCTAAATAATTGTATTGTAAATTGTTAAAATAAATAGGCGTTTATTAGGTTTTCACAATAATGGGCTAGACTAACGTGTAAACTGGCATATTGATTTAACATGTTTATATCCGCTCATATAATCCAGGGTGCAAAGGCAGGTGTCTTGTTCCCTCCAGGCCAGTTTACGCATTGTTGTACATTACTTTGTCTTTGTGGAACTGTTAGTTTTGGAAACGTGTTGTGATCGGTTTGTTGCCTTAGAGGTAATGGGGACGCTTACAAGCAGCTGTCGGCGTGTTATGTTGTCACTTATATGTGTTACAGCAAGTAGCAGCTTTAAGTGGCATTAGTGGCCGATTGCTGGTCTCACAAAAACAAGATTATGCAATGCACTAAAATAAATTCACCACATACTTCATACTCACTGCATTGTTCGAAAAATGCACAGTATTGTATGTTAACTTGTCCGGCAATTGCTCCGCTGATGAAGGATTATGCCTGATGGTGGTGTTTTTTTAACTTGTGCTTATACACGAAGTGCTGCCAAAACATTCCCTTCATGTTTTGTTTGATTTTGCACTTAAAGTAGTCCTCTGGTGGGTCTGCATTAGCTTGATATTTGAATATTTGTAGTATAAATTTTTTGCACAATTTGGTATATTTGTGTACAGTACTTGTCTACCATTTACATTTAAGATATAAAATGCTAAAACTTCACGCACAGCCAGGTACGTTTCCCGTTGCCTCTGTACGCACCACCACCATACCACTGTGTATTCGGCACAGTAATTAAACAACGGCCTACTCATTGAGCCAGTGTGTCTACTCTGGAAAATACATGCGTAAATGCTCTAATGTGCTGCTCATCATGCTGCAGTGAAACATCTTGTTCTCGGGTACAACCATTTCCTTCAATCACTTAACAGTCCTTGATGAACACCAGCCCGTGTCAACGGCATCCCCCCCCCCTGCAGAAAATTGCATCAGCTACGAAGGCTCATTCGTCATCGCCCGCAGTTTAGCGCAGGGGGCCAGTCGGTGCTCCATTTAGAGGAAGATGGCATTGCCATGAATACCGAGGTCTTACCTGGAAGCGCTGGGAAGGAGCCGCCGGACTCGAGATGGTCTGGCACAAGCGTCGCAATCAATGCTGCGTGCGGTCACAAAGCACCCACAGTAGCCACCTGGGGAGCCGCAGTCGGGGTGGGCTGCATCACGGCGCTTCTGCCGCCGTTTGACACTTGTAATGGTGATAGCGACAGCGCCATATGTTGCGGAGAGAGGCAATGTCTCTATTGCGCAGCCACCCTCGCCACTGGGCCCCATTGCGAGATGGCTTGCTGTAAAGTATGTGTATGGGTTTTTTTTTTTGGGGGGGGGGGCGGCAGCTTGCAGAGGCCTTCATAAAACAGTCTATTGACCCTGGCTGACGATTCAACAAATTGAATCGATACCTGATGTTCACGTTACATTAGTGAATAAGCATGTTCTTCCGTCTATATCGGGTTTCCTGTTATAAAGGGAGTAAGCCTAAAAGAAAAACAGAGATGGTTACAGGGAAATTAACAGGAGAGGGAATCATTGTGTGCGATTAGTGATAACTTTTGGAAAACAAGCCAGTGTCTGTGTTTTTAAGAGTGCAATACTAATAATAAGTTATCACGCCACCCTGAAATTGTGCAATTGCCACTGCTGCAATCAGGGTGACCAACGGGAGATAAGCACTTGCTCATTGAACAACTAAAATGGTCCATTACCAGGAGAGCCTCAACTCTTTTTGTCATAAGGGCCCTGCTCACAGTATTTGTGTTTTGTGGGGGTCATTAGAGAACCGAGAGTAATTAATCTGAGAGAATAACTATATATACGACCTCAAAACCAACTTCTTGTACTATCTTCTTGGGTCACTAACCCATTATAGACAAATATGCTTAGACCAGCTCTGATATCTAAAGCTTGTTAACAGTCGTAATATGATTTCCAATTGGTAAAGTACTTTTAACGGAGCATAAAATAGCTTTTTTTTTCCATTGGTAAAGCAAGGTTTATTAATGTGAGCTTCGAGTAGTTTTGACGTGCTATCTTTTGGTACCATTCCCTGCAATGTGCTGCTCTGCTTCCGCGAATACTTCTCCAATTAAATACCTTCACCGAGTGCCTTGGCTCGCTTGCACAGTTGGGATATTATTCGTGGATAATAAAAAAAAAGTTACATTGGGATTTTTTTCAGTATTCTTTTATTTCATGTGTATTATACTTTTATGCATTTTTTTTTAAACTTGCCCAGCTGGAAAATGCTGTCCATCTCGCCCTGCAGTGTGTATTCCATTAGGTTTTACGAGGCCGTTAGCTGTTTCTTCGCTTTATATGCATCCCTATCTCAGAAATGTTTAAGGTTTATGTGGTAAGTTTTGCGATGAAGCAATGGTAAGTATTTACTTTTGGAAATTACAAGATATAGGTTACCACATGCATAAACGGAAGTACACGTAAACATCATATACATTTTCATGCAGTGATTCAAAGCCTTTAACCTCATATTATGTGCTGTAAGCATTTACAACAAGATTAACATTCCTTCAGCTTCACTATGCTGTAGGGTTGTAAGACAGGGCACTAATTTATTTTTTTCGCCAAATGAAAACTAAACATAGAACCGTATTTTGGAGGGTTTTATTTCACACAATTGAGTCTTGGAGTAGGGTTAGGGTTGCTACAAGGCTGCTACACTCCAATCACATCTTCAGAGCAGACTGAGTGCAGGTGACCCCCGACTTACGACGGCTCGACTTGCGACTCCCCGCTTTTACAACCTTTCGTATAGTCATGAAGACCCCCGCAGTAACGACCGAAACGCGTATCTACTACCCACCTAACGACTGCTAGCGACGCCAACTCGAGCAGGAACAAAATTTGATCTTTTTGCCAATATACAGTGAGGGGAAAAAAGTATTTGATCCCCTGCTGATTTTGTACGTTTGCCCACTGACGAAGAAATGATCAGTCTATAATTTTAATGGTAGGTTTATTTGAACAGTGAGAGACAGAATAACAACAACAAAATCCAGAAAAACGCATGTCAAAAAGTTTATAACTTGATTTACATTTTACTGAGGGAAATAAGTATTTGACCCCTCTGCAAAACATGACTTAGTACTTGGTGGCAAAACCCTTGTCGGCAATCACAGAGGTCAGACGTTTCTTGTAGTTGGCCACCAGGTTTGCACACATCTCAGGAGGGATTTTGTCCCACTCCTCTTTGCAGATCTTCTCCAAGTCATTAAGGTTTCGAGGCTGACGTTTGGCACCTCTAACCTCTAAGGTCTGGAGACTGGCTAGGCCACTCCAGGACCTTGATGTGCTTCTTCTTGAGCCACTCCTTTGTTGCCTTGGTCGTGTGTTTTGGGTCATTGTCATGCTGGAATACCCATCCACGACCCATTTTTAATGCCCTGGCTGAGGGAAGGAGGTTCTCGCCCAAGATTTGACGGTACATAGCCCCGTCCATCGTCCCTTTGATGCGGTGAAGTTGTCCTGTCCCCTTAGCAGAAACCCCCCCCCCCCCAAAGCATAATGTTTTCACCTCCATGTTTGAGTTGAGTTGATGCCAAAGAGCTCCATTTTGGTCTCATCTGACCACAACACTTTCACCCAGTTGTCCTCTGAATCATTCAGATGTTCATTGGGAAACTTCAAATGGGCATGTATATGTGCTTTCTTGAGCAGGGGGACCTTGCGGGCGCTGCAGGATTTCAGTCCTTCACAGCGTAGTGTGTTACCAATTGTTTTCTTGGTTACTATGGTCCCAGCTGCCTTTAGATCATTGATAAGATCCTCCCGTGTAGTTCTGGGCTGATTCCTCACCGTTCTCATGATCATTGCAACTCTACGAGGTGAGATCTTGCATGGAGCCCCAGGCCGAGGGAGATTGACAGTTCTTTTGTGTTTCTTCCTTTTGCGAATAATCGCACCAACTGTTGTCACCTTCTCACCAAGCTGCTTGGCAATGGTCTTGTAGCACATTCCAGCCTTGTGTAGGTCTACAATCTTGTCCCTGACATCCTTGGAGAGCTCTTTGGTATTGGCCATGGTGGAGAGTTTGGAATCTGATTGATTGCTTCTGTGGACAGGTGTCTTTTATATAGGTAACAAGCTGAGATTAGGAGCACTCCGTTTAAGAGTGTGCTCCTAATCTCAGCTTGTTACCTGTTTAAAAGACACCTGAGAGCCAGAAATCTTTATGATTGAGAGGGGTCAAATACTTATTTCCCTCATTAAAATGTAAATCAATTTATAACATTTTTGACATGCGTTGTTCTGGATTTTGTTGTTGTTATTCTGTCTCTCACTGTTCAAATAAACCTACCATTAAAATTATAGACCGATCATTTCTTCGTCAGTGGGCAAACCTACAAAATCAGCAGGGGATCAAATACTTTTTTCCCTCACTGTATTTGCCGCTCGCCCGGAGCTATGAATGCCCTTTTCGCCTTTTGGCGTTCTCTGGTCTGACACTGGTGGTGAGACCGAGCCCTAAAGAAGGCTATCTCTGGTGTAGACCACTCAATTTCAAGGACAATGCATATATTATCAGAGCATGTTTTGTTTGCATGTTCATCACACGTACGTGTGGCTAATGCAGACATGCTACCTTGCAAAATGTTTCTATTTTGGATTTGAACATGTTAACATCTGTTTTATTGCCAGAATGGGTAAAACCTATTCTTGTTTTTTCATACTTTGATACTTGCAAAAAGGTTTCAGATATGTGCCTTGTAAGACATTTAAATGCCCCTGCAGCCCAATCGCATATGAGACTGATCATTTTACTTATAATCTCATGCATCCCTATTGTGTTGCAATCTGGCTCCAAGAGACAAAAAATATATATAATTTAAACATGACTGTTGCTTTTATTATTACGTTATATACTGATAGTATTGATGCAATTGCTGTTTGTAAAAAAAACAGGATTTCCACATATGTCTCTGCTATGCTTCACTGTGATGTGCTGTGTGCCTCTGCTTGCTCACGTCTATTCCTGCTATTTTCTGTTTGCATTCACTGCGCTCACTGTCTCCTGTGTTCCATTCTCTCTGCTTTCTTTCCGCTGGCATGGAAATCTTAACACTGCAACTACTGAATAGCAAATTGGGCTTCACTACATTAGCCAGAATTTATGCCTGGACCCCTTAGAACTGCCAGTTTTTGGCTCATGGAGTGATCCACGAACAGGCCTGGCAAGTTTCCAGGGTGTGAATCACCACCAAACTGACGTTGTATGATCTACCTAGGGAATGCCCCTCTTAAAATAACCTTTTTTTGAAACCTTTGAGACCTGCCAACATTAGCTGGGGAAGAGTGAATTGGGCATAGCAAGGACACACCCCTTGCTATTTTCTCCACTACAGGTGGATCAAAAAAATGCTCCGTCAGCTTCGTCTAATGGATTATCCGACTCGGGGAGTTTGGCTAATATCCACTTGGCAGAGATCAGCCAGATTCACGTCCGTGTCTGTTTTTGGCTTAGTTGTACCAAAACAAAGCTCTCAGCCGGGTTTAAATAGTCCTTTGCCAACATTTGAATTGCACCCTTAATCTTTATTTTATCAAAATGGCAACGTCTATATTCCATGCTGAATTCGTAGTACTGTTTTGTAAGTGTAATAAAGTTTGCAGACAAATGATTCAAGTCCTGTGACATCGGCCTCATAAAAAAATATGAATTCCACGTGCGCTTTCCATTGATGCAGTGCTTGATGTACAAAAAAAACAAGATTCTATCTTTCAAGACTTTATTTTTCGAATATGTTAAATGCCAGATTAAGAGAATGCAATTTACACTCGCACATACCATATTCAGTTGCTTTAAGAAAATAGCGTTTCGACTTTTTACCATTGCTTTAACAATATTAATGAATATTATTTAAGAAATTTCACTCCTACTGTGTCGACATGCAGGAAAGTGCAATTGTGGTTAATGCACTTTAACGTTTTGTATAAATATTTGGATAATGACAGGCCAATTGATTTGTTTTCATTGTATGGGTTGATATCAATTCTTAAGGGGGAACCGAAACTGTTGGATCTGCAGCGGCCAATTGCATTACCCCGGCGTTTGCTCGTGCCAACTACTGCCTTTTCCGTGTGACCCGTTTCTCATTGGTGGAGATGCATGCAATCGTTTGCCAGGTAAGATTGCACGTGTGTCACTTTCAGTGTGTGCGGCCGTCTGTTTACGTGCGTATCCGAGTTTATTTTGATCTAAGTCGGAAGCAGCGGCTTGGAAAGCTGTAGTGATTCGCATTGGACTCTTGTGTTCCCCTGCCCTGCCTTTGCAACATACACCATTGTGTAAGTATCGTGCAATGCGTGAGTCTGTGCATTTAACGTGCATTTATTATCCCACTTGGAGAATCTCTCGACCTCCCTACAAGCTGCAGGCCTTCATGCATATATCCAAACATGTGCAATATTTGTGTTGTATATTGAGTGCACGGGAACTCGAATTTCCATGTCTGTTGTGTGCATACTAGCCATCAGTGGGTACCCAGAGCATGCAGTTTGTAATCACCGAAATATTGCAATGCACAGATGCATACATGTCGTGCTTTGATAAATGAGCCCGTCATTAGCTGTTGCATTGTTGTTTGCATGTTAAACATTCATGTGCTTTAAGCATCGGAGTGGGTTGATCGTGCAGCACTTGTGTGCGCATGCACGCCTTGTGCAGCTCTGCTTTCGAGGGCTGCAGAATGCTTCTGGCAGGTTCTGTGCACGGCAGCGTGCACCACTGGGATCCCTGTACTGGGAACTCACCTGATTTAATTTCCTTTTCGTCGTATTTTTTTTTCAATTAATGAGCTCGCCGCAGTCGCTGTGGGAAACAATCACATTTCTCGGCAATATTTTCGCTGCATCGCCCGCTGCGTTTGCACCCACACGCCTGCGCTCAGCCGAGGCACATTCGGCACGCTGGAGTCTTTATATGTATCTTTGTGACAAAAGGGAGAAAAATGGACTGAAAGCCTGCCAAACGAGACAGGATAGCTTGCCGTAGGGATCCCAGGCTCCCAAGATCACAGCCTGGAATGAATCGTGCTGCTGTGCAGCATCCGCTGGTGTTCGATTTGTACTGCTCCCTGTCACCCCCCTGTTTTCTTGCGCTGCTCCTGTTGATGCGTACATGAGGATTAATTGAGGGTTTTATTTCTGCTGCTGCTTGTGTGCCGAGTGACAGTCAATTCCTGAGATGATTGTATGTTTTATTGTAAGAAACTCTCAAAATGCTATGCATAGCAAGGATTGCTTGTCATTGTCTAATAAATAAGTGCACATTTGTACAGTTAATGTACACACACACACGAATATAGCAAATGAGTGGGCATGAAAACTAAATAAATATTCAGCACACGGCAAGAGTAGAGGCATGGAGAACAGAAAGAGGAATATACAGTCTTTTCAAAGCAACAGTGAAGAGATTCTGGATGCGAGCATGAGTGGATATAATTATGAGCAAATATGTCACATTACATACAAGTCTTTATCCTTGCAAGGTGTAACTTCGCGATGGTTCCCCCCTTTATAATAAAAACGTCATCATTAATATAAATTTGCATCTCATAGCACTTGGTTCACGTGCATTGCACTGTGCATTGGTTTACGTGGCATATGACGTGGGTTTTTTTTAGCGCTACGTTAACAGGTATGGATTCTGGCTTAGCAATCATTGGAAGAATTTGATAAACCATTTCGGGTCTTAATTGATTGTTCACGCTTACGGTGGCTTTCAGACCGCATCCATTATTTTCGTCTCCCCCTCTTTTCTGAACATAGATGGACTCGTCCATCTGAATAACTGCCAAATCGCTCTCCGTGGTGCTAACGTTAAAAAACGCCACTTTTTTCAAAATTTCTTGCTGTGGTTTTCACACCTGATGATGATTGCTTGTGTTGCAGTCGAAACGTCGTGAGAATTTTATTGTTTTATATTTTTATTGTTTCCCTTCTACGTGACTACCGAAAGAACCAAGAATAGGTATGATGATATCTCATTGCACTGCTGTAAAATCACAGGAAAAGAAAAGGAACACGTTGCACATGCTGGTGATGCAACCTCCTATCCGATATGTCACCATGGAGCGTGGCCTACGTGTTTAAAGCCATCTACGAGGGACTGGTGACCTCCACATCTCGATAAAATAAATCTCCCCGAAGGAACACACGGTTCCGCCTGAGTACTGCGTTAAAATTCAGCGTTTTTTTTACATTTGGAACGTGCACACCCCGGTTCTGTGCGTATCCAATTGGTATCATTAATTGGGCATAAAGCTTGAAGCAAAAAAATATGTATTGTGTGTTGCTGCCCGACTGTGATCTTCCAAGCGGGGTGCGGTTCAACTCCATCATCTGGCGACTGATTCAAGAGTATCACTACGGTGCTTTAAATGAACGATTTGCTTGTGCGTGAGTCGGCTGAGCGCTTCGATGAAACCCCCACGCTTTTTATTTCCCCAAGGCACCAAACGTCAATCACGTTCTCTGCGCTGCTGGCCCCAATCGCGCACGCCGAATATGAATGTTTCCATTTTAACTACCTCTGAGCAGCACATTGTATCCAGTCGTTTATTTTACACAGGAATGAAAGGGGTGACTCTTTTACATCTGCATATTAACTGCCCACCGATTTGCCCTAAACAGTGAGCTGCGGGGCTATATTCTCTCCGTGGTGGACGCTCGTAGACAATTGCAGTGATTGTTACAAAAAAAAACCCCCACGACATTTCTTTGTATAGCTGCAGCAGTTCCCTGTGTAATTGGGACAATTTCGTAAAACAGCATGGCTTATTGACACACCGGATGTGTAAGCACGAGTCGTAGAAACGCTGTTTGGTAAAATAACGTTACGGACCTTTCTTGAAATATCAATTGAGCACCGAAGTACCAGAATCAGAATACTGTCTTTATACTGGATCAATCCGATAAGCTATGGAGCTCTTTTTTCACAGATGTCCAGTAGATGTCCCATACCTGTCAACCCCTTATCAGTGCCCTACCTTAGTACAGACCAATTAAGACCTCATTGGTCACTCCGTGCCCTTATAAATCTCAACGCTCATCCTACAACGTCCCATCACAAGGAAGAAGCACAACTAGACAAAACATTTTATTTGCCCGTATTCAAACAGCTGTACGCCGTACGGAACTGAAAACTCAATTTCCCTGTACAAGAATACGAGTAAACCGAATGGGTTGACAGGCATGTTGTCCAGTACCGGGTGATACCGACAGATTGCCTATGCCTTAACCACGATATCAAGGTTGGCAATTCAAGGTACACTGTGCCAGTGTCAAGTTCCTATAAATGCTCGGTGTACCAGCATGACCAATACTCTGGCATTGGCTTAATGATCCTTAGGAGCACAATACCTTTGGATTGCTTCATTTGCAATGTACAGCAGCAACAACAACGCCTTGTCTCTAGCCAGACTAATTGGCGGGGGGGGTGGGGGTCCTGGCCTGGCTATCTAACAAGTCCGGCTAGTCGTCATCTCAATTAAATATTGTATGTGTAAAAAAACAATACACATATATGTGTGCTAGCTTTTTTTGCCCGTCCAAGGACGGGTATATATTGCAGTAAATCTGAAACGTTCAATAGAAAAATTGTTCAGCTCATGATTATTAATGAAGGGGTTTGCCCCATGTGGAGTGACGTCACCCACGAATGGTTATTGGGGAGGGGTGCGGCATGTGGAGTGACGTCACCCCATCATGGTGGAGGGGTGCGTCATGTGGAGTGACGTCACCCGCTCATGATTATTCATGAGAGGGTGCGGGATCTGGTGTGCGTTAGTGTAAATTTACACGCGTACATGAATATTAATGAAGGGCGGGGCTCTTTTGCAGTGACGTCACGCACGGATGTTGCACGGTGCTGCGTCGATTTATTTTTTACCGTCACTTTCTGTAAAGAAACATTTGAAGCGACTTTGCGTAATAAATAATTTAATTCAGATCGACCTTCCTCTGCGTTGGTGTAAAAATCCACCCACTCATGAATATTAATGAGGGGGGGAGTTCCTCATGTGGAGTGACGTCATGCGGGAGGGTGGGCGTCATGTGGTTTGACGTCACGCGTGGGACGGACAGACATTTGTGGGTGATTATGGTAGGTAATAATTACACGTGTGCTATGCAGTGTATATGTAAAATAAATATATACAGAAAGTGTACGTGGCGCGCGTGCGTGTTGGTGTGCTTGGGGGTATGTTGTGCTGTGTACAGGGTGGTCAAGATGTCTTGTGACCCCCCCCCCCCCCCAAATGAATTGAACCCTAACCATAGTTGTATTCATATTCTTGGTTATTTCGGTAAAGTCACGTAGAAGGGAAACAATAAAATAATAAAAAATATAAAACAATAAAATTATCACGACGTTTCGACTGCAACACAAGCAAATCATCATCAGGTGTGAAGATCACACCTGATGATGATTGCTTGTGTTGCAGTTTTATATTTGTATTGTTTCCCTTCTACGTGACTTTACCGAAAGAACCAAGAATATGAATCCCTGCAGTCACGAAAGCTTTAAATCAAAATAGTTGTATTCCTTTGCATATTGTATTAAGTAAACCTTTAAAACTATATTAAGTTATAGTAATAGGTTTTTTACCCTTTTAGCTGGCACACAAAAAAAAACCTATTTACTATATCTTGTTACTGGCAAAGGAGGTCTCATAATCTATATTAAGTTGTAGAGAATTAAATGCGGGAAGGTGGGGGGGGTGGAGGTTGTGTCACTAGATCATCTGCAGTGTGCTGTACAGTAGTTTACTGTACGGATTGTTTGCCGGTCGCCGGATCCTCGCCATCACCGACCCGGCCTCGAGCCAATTAACCCAATTAAGTGCAGTGAACGAAAGCTTCAAATCAAGAGTTAATTGAACCTTACGGTGGTACCATAGGGCCCCCGGCTCTCGCGCAATGTCCCGTGATGCCAGTCATTTTTAGTCTTGCGGCGATGTTCGGCGATGAGAAGACAGTCGAGTCATCTCGACAGAAGCACTGCGGTGCGTGCCGCGAGCGTTCACAGGGTTTCGACGTCGAGAATTTAGCACCGATTTAGGATTGATTGGTGGTCGAGGAGTGAAGTAACGACACCCCCCCCCCCCCCCCCCTGGAAACAGGTGTCCACATAAAATAAAATATTTAATTGCCTCGGCCATTTAGTATTATTTTGTTACCCCGGGGAGTACCGCCACAAGGAGCAAAATACGCTTTTTAGCGTCGCTCCATAAACTGTTTTAAACGCGCGCATCGTCTGTGTTGAGGTAAGTCATTATTAGTAGTATTATATTTATTATTATTATTACCGTAACGTGTTTCTCGCACACTTTGTCGACACGCACCCTTGCAGGGCAAGCTAAAGATGTACTTGTACAGTTGCTGCACGTCGCCTACCGCGTGCCGCGTCAACCCACACACGCGGGTTGCCACCGAATTCTTGTGCAGGGAAATTCGAGTTTTCAGGTGCAGACGTTTCAATACGGGCACGTTTTGTCGTCGTCTATATGTTTGTGTTTCTCCCTGGTAGGATGGACGTTGATATTTATAATGGCACGGGGTGATCAATAAGGTCTGAATTTGTCTGTAATTAGTTGGGCATGAGTAAAGGGGGGTTGACAAGTACTCTACTGTCCACTGGACATCTTGTATAACAACAACAAAATCAGCTCCAGTCTAAAATACAGATTCTGATTCCATCGTGTATGGGGGGCACTTAATGGGAGAAGCGATTCCCCCTTTAAGGTGTAGGCGATTGTTAAATCGTACAAAAAAAGCATTGTGGATGCGAGGGACCCAAATACACCCTCGGCAGTATTGTGCCATTGGTTTCGCCTTCGGCGTTGTCACGTCTTTTTGCCCCATCACTTGCTTTCAACATCGGCTCTTTTAGCATTACGTAGTTTGAAAGGTGCTTTATAAAACCGAGGTTAGTGTTGTTGACCGTGAAACAGTGATTCGGTATCAAATGTTTCCAATGTTCATCGATGATGGCGTGGGGTACAGATCGCTCGTCATTCGCCTTTTTTTTTGTCGCGCAGTATTTTCTCGTAAATGTATTCCATTGAGCAACGAAGCGGTGAAAATGATCGCATTCGTATGCCCCGCGTAGACAAGTACTCTAGACTTGTTATTTAAATGCTTCATCATGGCGTGTGTGCATGTGCGCGCACGTGTGTTACGGGTGGTGCGTGTCTAGAGAGTGGAGGTGGTTATGACATTTGGGCTCACGACGACAAACATTGCTTAGAGGAGAAACATGGGACGTGCGGTGCTGGCCGCTCAGAGTCAGTCTTCCCTGTTGTGCCATCCACCCCGACAAGGAAACTCGGCGCTCCTGCTACTGGACGCTGCTGCGTCTCACCTTTGTGGCCAAGACCACGAATACACGTTCTTCTAAATCAGGTAACTTGTACAATAGCCGGGAAACTGACCAAACGGGATAATCTGTGTAACAAATCAAACAAAACTCAAACTGGATAAGGCCACACTGTCTGGATGAATCAATTGTCGTATTGTCCTTTCTGCTCAAACCACCATTTGGTGGTTGGCAGCCTCCTTTGGCGATATTAAGCTGTTGTGGAAATTCTGCCTTTCTGTGATGGGGGGAGTATGTCCATAAAAGCAAATATATTTTTGACTTTCCTGCTCTAGAGGGATAATGGGCTGAGTTGATACCGAAAGTGGATTTTTTTTAACTGTGGCCTTCTAATTGGGACTTAAGCACTCATCTGTCTATGATCATCATCATTAGCCATGATTATCATTCGCCTTGATCCCCTGCTGGATGTAGGCCTTCCAAACCCATAACTATCTTTCATGATCTTGCAGGCTATGATACATGCTTCAAAAATATATACGTTCAATAAATCATTGAAAGATTACATGATAATGTATATCTGTATTATATTCACGGGAACTTAAACACTGAATTTGTGAACTATTCACTTTGTTATATTTTTCACATAAGCTGCATGAGCATTGGAAATTTCTGTTTTGGATTTTCTATGGAGAACACGCTGCCAGCCATAGCAATGTGGAATTCAGCCACTGCGTCAGGGATGTCCACAGAGATGAGCATACATCCACACTCTCCTTAACCTTGATTTAATCTGTACACACAGGACGGTATACTCTTGATTATACATATTGAGAGGATCTTTTGTGTGTATAATACATTGTTGCAGTGAATAGAAACATGTGAAGGAGAAGTATCCTTATTAATTTAGTTAATACCACAAATAAGATTGTTATTTTATTTTCTTTGAACCTATCTACGTGACTTTACCGAAATACCCAAAGAATATTAATTCCTGCAGTCACGAAAGCTTTAAGTCAAGATTGAGGAGGAAGGGGATGAGACGTGGGGTGGGGGGAAGGTTCCGGGGAAGGAGGGGAGCGATTGTTTGCAGTTTGCAGGGGCAGTTTTCACTACAGTGTGAGGGTGCCCTACACCCACACCTACAAATACCTTCCCTATGCCGCCTGTTTATTTCAGATGATTGCATTTGTGGAAGGCTGAAGCACCAGTTAAATGAGAGCCTTCTGTTTTTGTGCAGTACTTGCATGTGCATATAGATTGTAAAGCAAAGTATAGTTTAAAATCCTATTATTTACCAACTTGTTTTCCTTCTGCTCGTTTTTTTTGCTTTGCAGACCTAAGTTAAACATAATTTGGGATGATTGAGCCAGAGGAATTGCCTCTAGTGATTGATTCGGACATCCACAGCAAAGTCCCCGTGGTTGTGGAGATCATCCCAGCAAAAGGAACAGATCGCCCATTTGTAAGAAGAGATCTTGTAAATCCAGTACGACCACTGCGAGCCGGGACAGTCAGCCCTTTGCATCAGCTGTCTGGTGGCGACTTAACTCAAGTCAAGGTAGATAATTCACTGACTATGGTCAACTCTGGTGGCCAGGGCATCCAAGGGAGAGCTGAGACGGCTCGCCAGCAGCAGCTGGGAGTTGTGATATCTTGTGGCCGACCGGGGTCGGACAATGACAGTGTCGTCTATTACGCAACAAAAGACGACGGGCTAGCTGGTGATTCTGGGCCGCAGGCTGGGCGGCAGACACCTAGAGCGTACGTCGAGATGCCCAACATTGTGATAGATGCAGAGATGAGCGCAGTGGAGCCCACAAAGGCGACGGCGTCCCCACCAACCCAGGACCTGAACTATGCCGAGTTTGCGGACGTATCCCATGGAGACGAAGAAGAGGATGGAGAAGGAAGAGAAGGAGCGAGCAGAATGAAGGCCACGGCACATGGCAGCACAGCGCACAATCAGAGGCACGCCTGTGAGGAGGTCAATGCGCAGGTGGACGGAGAGCAGCAACGTGAAGGGGAGCTGCCCGTCCATCCCCTGGAAAACTTCAGTCGGGAAGAGAGGGCCGAGGCTGACTCTCAGCTCGACCTTCCAGCAGACGCACAGGTCAGTGGTGGTGTTGATATGTTTGTTACTCTGAAGGCTATGTTTTGTCGTTCATGAGCTCACTGGTGTATGTTTACATCTGTCGATTATAAGTTAGTACTTTATTTGTGTCATTACTAGGATGGTATACATGTCTAATAGCTTGTTTGAGAAGAGAATATAGATTATTAAATAATTGAACAATTACAACATTGGTAAATGACTACTTGTTACCACTGCACCAAATATATTCTATGTAAGTGATATTATACGTCAAAATATCGCGTGATGAGAAAATTTTGTTCTTAAAGTCCACATTGTGTGACACATTGAAGCAGTATTTTTCAGTGTGCCAATGCTAAGCATGGCCAAGGTGTAGGAAACGAATTGTAATGAAATCCACTGGGGGCATACATTTGCACGAATGTGTATTGGACCTGTCTGGCATAGCCACTATATAACTGTTCCCCCTTGGGTGACTCTCACCCATTTTTGAATTGAAACCTGTTGGAATCTTTACCGTGGAGCTCATCGGTTTTGAATTCAAAGTCAAATCAACTTAATTTCTTACTCTTTTACCTCTCATTCAACGTATTCATTTGAATTGCTGTTTGGGCCATTTGTCATTGCCCATGCAGAAACGCATGCAGTCGCAGGTGCAGTCAAGAAAGAGAGCCAAGGTAAGGTTGAGCACCAGCACACTGGCTCCCGTGCCTGTCCATGCCTTTCCCCATACTGTCTGTCCACGTTTCTGTTGTTTTGTTCCTCTGCATTATGTTTCAATTGTTGTTTGACTTTTAGGTTCTCTAGACTTTCATGGTCATAGCCATCATTGTCATGTTCAAAAATGTAAGCTTCGTTCTGAAGCATACAATCAGTCCAAATCGAATAATGCTGAGGTTTTTAAAAAATACGTAGGAAGGCGACTCAAAAGCAACCTTTTATTTAATCCTTGGAAACAACCTACTCTTGTTTTTTGTAAAGCCAGGTTTGCTCATTGATGGACCTAGAAATCATGGTTTTGCTTTCTAGAAAAAAAATGCATCCAGCAAAGCTCACTGAATTATCACTGTATTGTCTGCCTCAGTGTGATTTATAATAATAAGTTAATCCACAAGTGTCACCATATCATTAATAATCTTATGAATGCTGCAGTTTGAAAAATAAATAAATAAATTACTTTACTTCACGTATGTCATTTTCCGATAACATTTTTGGATAATTTCTACTACAGTCTATGCTTAGCTTAATCATTCTGCCTATATCTTGTATTTTCCATTGTCTCACAAATGTGCAGAACCAGTGTTTTTCATTTGCACAGATATAGCCTTACCCCTCATGCTGATTAATTTCTGTAACATGCATATGGTATAAAAACTTTTCAGCTTTTATTGGAATTGCAGTCATTCTCTCATTTGATAACATAATTGAAAATATGCAATCATATTCCTTAACTAAAACCATAGAAAAATGCTGTATTTATAAAGGATTTCAGGTCTGTCAATGGCCAGTCCATCGGTGACTTGGTCATAACATCTAACTCGTAACCATTTTTTCAGATTGATGGGGCAGGAGGCCATAATTATGTTTAATTAATATTTTGTGGCACTGAAATCTTAGTTTTAGACTCTATGATTCACGAAATTTTGAATCATTGTTTTTGCTGTGTATAAAGAATACATGCACAGAAAAAACGATCTGCAAAGTTAAAATCCACCAATATTACCACTTCAAAACACAACAAGATATCATTGATGTACCAATGTATAAATACAATTTTGACCAATAAAGCTCACTTTAGAAATGTCATGACTAAATTTAACAAATATTCATGACTGAATTCTTTATCTCTATTTGAGACATACAGGAATCACTGCAATCCACATTTGCGCCAGACAGAGCCTCAAAACCATTAACCAAGTCCTGGCTCAGGTGCTTAATTTCAGTCCCTGGAACAATAGAATGAGCCCGAGTTTGACTTTAGATAAACAAAACCTGCAAAGTCATCCTGTCTGCTTTCAGACGTTTATACCCTGTACACTTGGCAAAGGGTTCCAGCATTTAGCATCGTCTTGGTAGGGATCGTCCTGTCTCCTCTGCTGTATATTACTTCTTGTCTGCCGCAGTCGGGCGTCAAGATGAAGCTGGTGCGGAGCCTGGCGGTGTGTGACGAACCGTCTCCTCCCCTGGTGGACGGCGACGGCCAAGAGAGCCAGGTGCACAATTCGTATGCGCTCTCACGCAATACTGCTCCGTGCTACAGTCCAGCCTGTTTTCCTACGGTGGTGGCATGTTCCTCAGTCATGAACACCTTCGCATGCCCAGCATGCTGCAGGAATTGGCCATTGTAAGCTTCTTACTGAACTACCGAGGGACTCCGGGATCATGTCTGTTCTTGTGACTAGCTATCCAGAGCTCCTCATTACTTCGGACTTTCCCAGAGGCAACTGACATAGAGCATAGTGTATTGCACATAAACAACATAAAAAACACCACACAACCAATCTCACACAAACACCTCAACAAAGCAACCCTCTGGTGCTTCCAGTGGCCATCTCATAATGTGTCCATGCACAAGCTAAAAACTCAACACATTTGTCAATAATACTTCTTTAAAAGGAAAAATATATAATAGGTGACGTTTTTGGCTATATAGAGACTATGGAAATGTCATGACTAAATTTAACATACATATTCATGACTAAATTCTTTATCTCCATTTGAGAAATACAGGAATCACTGCAATACACATTTGGAGACTCCGCTTAATAGCATGGACCTGATAATAATTAAACTTTTAAATGTTTATTGATGGACAGTTTTTAAACTGGCATCCGAATCGGTACCTTTAAATAGCAATTAATTCAACAGGAAGATCCTTCCACAATCACATATGTATTACTAAATTAACTCATTTACATACACATACTAATTCATCACTCAAATAAACAAAGAGGGGAGAGGGTAGAGAAACATGCCGATGGTTGCATTAAGTCTGAGTTTGTGGTCTTCCAAGGAGTTTCTGGTCACCCTCGATTGCCTCCACCAATCCTTCATCAGACCCCGATTGTCCCAACAGGTTGTCCAGGTATAGTTTTATGTGCTACTCTTAATATGCCGACAACTACCACAAGCAATTTTTTACTTGCCTGCTCTGCTTGCTCATCACAGTAATAACCTGTCTGCTCAGCTCCAGCACCTTTATCATGTTTTACTTATATTAACTCGCGGGGCCCTGAATCTTTGAGAATGAAAGGGAAGAATTTCCCATTACCCTGCGTGGTTTGCGTGTTCTTTGGTCATCGTTGCTGGCATTCAGAGGACCAATCTTAACATAAGCAATGACATTATTTCAGGAGCCTCAGTTAGACAACAGAAACAGGAAAGAAGAAGAGAGGCCATGCAAGGAGGGCTCCGGCAAGGAGAAACTAGCAGAGAAGGCTCTGAGTGACAAACCCGAGAAGGCGGCTCCCAAGGCACAGAAAGTACTCTCCCGAGGCAAGTCTCATGGCTCACTGTCATACACTTAAAAGACATAACTTGACAAGTGTCTTAATTCTCTCTTTAATTTCACACTGATCATTCTGTATTTTTTTTTGCATGCAAGCCCTCATCCACAGGGCCATAGTGTGTGTGTTCAACTTTACATGTAGGCTGTGTATATTGACAAATGAACGGGCAAAGTTGGCTCATTTGTGAGTTGAGTGTTTGTATTCATCGTTTCTGGCAGGAAGGTACGGGTCTGTACTATTATTACTGTCTTTGACCATTCTCAATCCATTGCTGGGGTTTAAACTTTCCCAAGCTACCTTTGCTCCCTTGCTATTGCATTCCATATGGAATATTCCACGAATGTATATTTGTAGTGTCTGTAGAGTATTTTTTTCTGAAATCTTAAATAAACTTTAATTAAGCCAGATGAGAACCCTTTGAGAAAACATACATCTGGGAAAGGAGGCCTATGGGAAACATGGATAAATGCAGGTGTTAAGGGCACTGCAACGGTCCGAACTATGAAAGCAATAATTTTGATAAATTAAAAGTAATTAAAGCATTTAAACAATTATATTGGTACATAATGCAAGTATATTTTACATATATTTTAACCAATTACAATTTACAGAAGAGAGTATAATGTAGCAACATATTTTACAGAAGGGTACTTTATTTTTTTTATTATTGAAATCTAACATTCAAATGGGGGAAATTGGTACGGTTGGCTCCATATCATTTTCTAGAACGCTTACATTTATATTCACCAATTAGTAATTCTTATTTTCACCATACATTAGAATTAGTGGTGCTATAACATGGAAGGAACATTCAAGGCTAGAAATTACATACTGAATTTTCAAAGTACAAAAATGGAAAGGTTGTCAATAAGCCTAAAATGTAATATGGAAATTTAAATTGTGCTATGCGAAAAAGGCAATCAATGTGTGACGAATTTAATATTTCACGTTTGAACATCCCTTGACATAATCCACTGTTAAAATCAAATTACATTTTATGAAGCTTTGATGATCGAGCTTACTAATGATCCAAAGAGACTCAAGTTCCAGTTGGTTGTGGAAATTGTTATATCGCATCATCTTCATCGACCATTATCTGTCCACTGCTGAATGAAAGCCTCACCACGTTGATATTTTTTACACTCCTGTGTTGCCACAATTCATCTACCTCCTTTATACAAACTGATCTCATCGCTCTATCTCCATGGTAGTTATACTCTCAAACGTGTTCCATCCTTTGGCTCCATTCTGTCACCGGTAGTATCATCATTTGGCTATCATCTCTTCTCGAGGCATATCTTACCCAAGCCCAATAATTTTAAATCAGCAGAATGTCTCTTATTTCCATTTGTTCTCTGATCCATGTGTTCCTCTTTCTGTTCTCACCATGCATAGTACCTTATCTCTTTTGTGTAATTTTCAACTTGCATTCCATTTTTTTGTCATAGTCTAGGTTTTCAATGTATTTGTTATCGCAGGGAATGTGCACTAATTTTAAACATTTTTCTTTCAGCAAATTGGTTTGTTACTTTTGTTTATCCGGTTTCATTTTCCAAAATCACTCCATTCTGCTCTCTCTTACCTCTTTGTAGAGTGATGTATCTTCTGCTTTCGATAATTGCCTTGATATAATACTTTGTTGTGTTTTGCAGTTGCATCCTTCCAACCAATTATTTATTTTTATCCAGATAACTTGCACATTATCTTTAGCTCCACTTTGCAGTTTTCTTTATGATAATTACATCCTTTCCTGAGGTGCAATACCCTTGATTGTTATGACTATGGTGTAAGCAAACTGCGATGATTAATACTTTCACCTTTTACCATTACGTCTTTATTTTTATAATTTTTTTGAAACATTTGCCAGCGTTGTTGTGAATCCCCTTGGTGAGAGGTATTCTCCTTGCCTGATTCATTTCGATTGAGTTTTGTTATTGCAGTGTCAGTGTTGATAATTTTTATATATATTTATTATAATAGATTTGGTTTGTGACAACTTGAATGACTTCATAATTCTCCACTGCATTAATTGCCTTTTATACTGCACACATAGGCAGAATATTTTTTGTTATTAGTCTTTTCTATAATCTGATGGGAAATATTGATGTGGTCAGTGGTAGAACACCCTTGTCGAATACCAGTTTTCTGCCGTAGTTGGTTGACCTTTAAATTGACCATTATTTAATTCACTCTAATTTTCATGAACATTTTATCTTTGTGTGATAATAGACTAATAGGTTTGGAATTTATAACAGTCAATTTTAATGCCCTTCTTAAATAAGACTGAAATGTCAGTCTATGATTGAGGTAATTAATTTCTTGATAAACATTTGGGAAATAAGTATGCTGATTTGTTCCACCAACTTGTCTTCCTTCTTTGATGTCCACAGTTATTCCAACTAGTCCAGGAGCTTTCTCTTTTTACGACAAATGGCGGTGTTTATATTTTTATGGTTAATTGATGTGATTAAACCTCACACTGCTGCATCTCTCCATGTATTTTTAAACATTGCCGTATCTTGCTGTAACTTATGCAGAATTCTCTGCAAAGGCTAAATGAGAATAAATTTGAATGTCAGAATTGAAGCCGCCCCCACTTACAGTAAGTTACTGCTTACATAAGAGCCACTTCCGGCACTGGCCCATTGCCAGGTGAAGGGTGATGTAAAGGCACCTACGTGTGACAATTTGTAAATTTATGGCCACAATGCCGGCACAATGGTCACTGGTTCTACCCCTGCCTGCGGAGGCATCCCAATTAAATTAGATGGACATCTAATTTCCTGTGTGTGGGCGATGTTCGTGCACTGCATGTGATGCTCGCACGTGTTTCAGCTGCAGCTCGCAGGGGCTGTGAGCTGCAGCTTCTTCATCCTGACCCAATTATGTAGAGATTTAAAAGTTTTTGTTCCTCAGTGGCTTGTTTATGGAAAATATGTACATGAACATTTGCAGCCCTTTTATTGGTCCACTGTTGTAAAGAAATACGTGGGTTAAAGAAAATGAAATGTAACAAATAAAATTAAAGTGACAGTGGTGTACGAATATCCAACAGAAAACAGCTTTGCAATGAAGACTGCCTTATACAACAAACATAGTAGAATAGAATCCACTCTCCACACTGTCTAACACCGTAGCCAGATAATGTGTTTATTTTTGTACTGCAAGGCATTGTTAATGAAGACAGTAGTGAGATTTTTTATTGTTTTTATATCAGTTGTGATTTGTTTACTTTGACCATGTTTTTTAGAATGTGTACTTGAATGATTGTGATTTTGCAGCTCTATTGACAGCAACTTGAGAAGGCTGTAGCGATAATTCATTCTTAATGCATCGTTCTTGCTTATTGCCATTAAAATTGATGTTACACATACTTTTTATTTCAATTCGTTTAAATAACTAAATGTATTTGTACAGCCATGGGTTTGTATCAAAGGCGCTATTTAAGCTGTAATATTTTTTTTGCATTATGTAATTCACATAGTTGCCCTTTGATTTAGTTGTCGTGCAGTGGGCATTACAAAATCTTTTTTTTTTGCACTGTTAACAGCTGCCTATTAATGCTGACGGGTGGTGATCGCAATCTTTGCAGATTCTAGCCAGGACTACACTGACTCAACGGGTGTGGACGTGCACGAGTTCTTGGTGAACACGCTCAGAAACAACCCCAGGTCCACTGCACTTGCACTGTCATTCTAGGCCATGAAGCTGTGGCATGCAATCAGGCACGCCGTTATTTATAAGAGCCTCTTTCTGCTGCGCTCTTCACTAAATCCTCGTACGTGTTCCAGAACAGCCGTCGGGGATGGACAACGCAGGAAAGAAAATGGGCTTCATTTTGTAAATTTAAAGAGTCGCCATGCTGTGATTAAGCGCAAGGCAGCTCTTTAGTGGTTGCGTGCTGCGAATGTACCGCTATGTAGGTCGCGTCAGACTTGACTGAATTACTGGGGGTGCTTGCAGCAAGCTCTCATTTCTCTCCCGTCCTCCCGAGACCGCGTTGTGCTGGATCGGCTGTGAGCAGCTGCTGGAGCGAGCAGTGTGCGTACAGCGGTAGCGGAGCGCGAGCCCTGCGCATTTGTCAAGTGTTCAGTGCGCCAGTGCAACTGCTGCGCTAATTGGTATGCACGAGGAGATTCGCACATGTACTAATTCTGAGATCAGTATGTGTATGTCAGCAGTTGACTCGTGCATTCTGTATGGTGCCCTTTAAAAAATAATTACTGCACTGCAATTTGTGGATGAAAAAAATAAATTGGTGCTTTATATTCTGCATGCTGCAATTTGTTGAAATAAAGTTACTTCAATATCTTATATCTATATAAAGATCTTCATCTGTCTCAAAAACCTCTCGGGTACTTCCCGACAAGGTAGAACACTGCAATGTGGTACATTGGTAGCCTTTAGGACACAAACAACAGGAAATATCTGAAAATCCGAGATTTTATTTTTTATTTTAAGACCCCCAAATCTCGATTTTAAGTGCCCCATAAACAGCTTTGTGCGTGTCATTCAGAAACCGTAAAAAGTATAAGATTGCGGGGTTTTTTCGTTTGATCGAACGTTAAAGAGCAATTAAAATTAAGGTAAGAACCATTGTTCTATATTTTATTGTTTTTGAGATACTTCGGATTTAAGTGGTTTTGAATGAAAAAATATGCATTTTATGATGTTCAAATCTGTATCATTTTAAATCAGTAAAATATAGGAATTTCCCCTCATAGAGTATTAATTTGATTCATTTTGTTCTTTTGCATAAAAAAAGAACGGAATCTTTAAATTGAGCGGTTTATGATAAGTTTCGTCTTTAATTATAAGAAGTTGAATCGAGTAAAACATTTTAGTGTTTTTTTGTTTGCGTAAACATTAAAGTTTTCAGTTGTTATTCGTGTATGATCATCGATGAAAAATTGAAAAAATCGTATCAGGTAAAAAAAAATACTTTTGCCTGGCAAAGTCAGGCTTTATGAACTAGTTGAGAATAAAGTTGAATATTTTATATTCTTAGCTCTTTCAGTAAAGTCACGTTGAAGGGAAACAATAAAATATATATTAAACAATAAAAATTCTCACGACGTTTCGACCATAACACAAACGGTCGTCATCAGGTGACGACCGTTTGTGTTCTCACGACGTTTCGACCATAACACAAACGGTCGTCATCAGGTGACGACCGTTTGTGTTATGGTCGAAACGTCGTGAGAATTTTTATTGTTTTATATTTATTTTATTGTTTCCCTTCAACGTGACTTTACCGAAAGAGCTAAGAATATGAATTACTGCAGTCACAAAAGCTTTAAATCAAAATTTGAATATTTTATTTAAATATGTTGCGCAATAATAGCCTCTTCAGTAAATTTTAACACTTATATGGGACCATCGTTATTAATGGAAAAAGAACGAATGATACACTGTAACATGATGACAAATGTATGTGAATAGCTTCAAAAAGTCAGTCTCCACTTGTTCGCCATCATTGTCAACACGTGCCTGGAATCTTCTCCAGGTGGTCTCCAGAGCCCGGAGGCACATTTATTGTGGTATGATTGCAAATTCTCTGAAGTGTAAAAAAAAAATTGAAGCACCCTGAATATTATTTTGAAACCTGAATCATTAGAGAATTACTGGCAGACTTTTTCTGTCCTTGGATTGACCTTGCCGTATAAAATATGTGCACAGTACAATGATGATCACATTCAGGACTTCCAAACAACGACTTTTATTCCACACAATTTAGTGAGACGGCTTTGAATGAAGTAAGTGAAAGAGATCATTGATAAATGAGTAATTATAATTGTGAAGGTCAAGTAATGTTTTTTCTTTTAAGTAACACGTTTCCTTTGTGGAAATGGCATATTTATCCAAGACAAGGCCGATATAATGTTTTTATAAGAAAGTGGCATGAGGCTGCCAAGAGTCGGGAAACTCCAGACAAATGCTCTGGTGTCCAACAGCAATGAACAGGGAACTTGTGTAGTTTCTCTGCTACGTCAATATTCATGGTGTGGTGTCAAATGAATTATTTTGGGCTAGCATTAGGGGTTAGGAGTGCAGACAGATATTCCACACACATTTGAGCTTCATAATATAACATTTTTGTTGTATCTTTTTGTTATCCACATGCTTTCTTTTTTTTACCTCGCAGAGACAGAATGATGCTTCTGAAGATGGAGCAAGAGCTCACCGACTTCGTACAAGACAACAAGTAGGTTGACCTCGCTGACAAGAGTTCGCCAGAGGGAATGAGTTCTACAATGCGGAATGTGGTGGTTCATGTATGAGCTCAGGTCCAAGTGCCCAGCATCATACCGCACCATCTCTTTCAGGCAACACTATAGGAAATTCCCACCGATGACGTCGTACCACCGCATGCTCGTGCACCGTGTAGCTGCCTACTTCGGGATGGACCACAACGTGGACCAGACGGGCAAGGCCGTGGTGGTGAACAAGACGCCCAGCACGCGCATGTGGGTGAACAATCACGGCACCACTGGTCTGCCCTTTTGTTTCTTGTGTCCGTATTTCCTGGCGATTATGAGAGCACGTTGAGGTGCATTGGCTGTTTTACAAGCACAATCAAAATAGTTCATGGTTGTGACCATTATGAGCCGGCACTCATGGTAAATCAAGTCAGCTGTAAAGTTATATAGTGGTGCCGTGCTCAAACGAGGTTCGGGTTGTTCTCATCTCCATCAGATGGCCCTGTGCCAGTGCAAAAAAATACAACGTTGCTATGGCAAAGAACGTTTTCCATAGGACAACCACTTTGGAATTGGCAGAGAATACATTATTACCTAATTCATATTTTCATGTTCTCCATAGCACTGATGATCATTGAATTATTATTCTGTTGTATAAGAATTACAATACTTTATTCTAATATTATTATAGGTCACAAGTTTTTCATTTATGTACGCCTTAAAACACCAGCTTTTATTCAGATTCAAGTCCATGTTTCCAGGGTTACCACACACTTCCATTTTGTCATCATCTTGCCACATTCAACCCGACCCAAAGTATTTTGTTTAAAGCTACTCTATTTTTAACCTAAGAACCTATTGGCCCTGCTCCCTTACAGCCCTGAGCAGAGGTTTTCCGAGCATTTTAAAGATGATGGTCCGTGTGATGAAGCTCAGAAGCGTTTCATTCTAAAGAGGGACAACTCCAGCTTGGACAAAGATGACATGCAGGTGAGCACACTTGTCTGTGACAATGGACACACAGCCAGTTTTGATGCACTGAGATTTTTTTGTATTAATTATTTCCTTCCATTTTGTAGAAAGTCAGATTGACCAATGACCAAAAATTTTATATTGATTTTTGTATAGTCTCTAGGCTGGTAACAAAACATGTTGCTGGCTGTGTAAATCACTCGATTAAAAATATACACACAGCTTTAAGGTTGTGTCACATGCTCCCATTGTTTTTGAGACAGCATCATGCAGAGTAGTGACTTATGGGAGGTGACTCTTTCCAAATAGACATGTCTGCATCTTCCAAACGTCTGACCATGTTGCTTTGACAAACCCAAAATGTTTTATGCAATTGTATGGGCCCCACTGCTTTTCGTGCCGTATTCCACACACCTCAGCGCATCCGGCTGCTGCAGGGCGAGCGGCGCAGCAAGTCAATTGAGGAGCGGGAAGAGGAGTACCAGCGTGCCCGAGAGAGAATCTTCGCTCAGGATGTGAGCGCTCGCACTCGCTTGCATGCCTGCACAACAGCAATTTGCGACAATCCCTCGTCGCACATTTGTCATCGCGTTGCTGCGCTCTCAGAATTAAAACATTAAAAACACCTGCACACATACCTTTGTCGTTGAGTTCCAGGGATAACGTGCACATTTTTTTTGTCTCTTCCTAGGCCATATCTGCGCAAGACACTCCTCAGATTGAAATCAGGTGAGCATCCGCCTTTAATGACTACTGTTCATGTTTCTCTTACCCGTCGGCTTGTTATTTAACTGCTGTAACCCGACTCCTAACCTCTGAAATGACAACTGTAATGATGCACCTAATTCTGTTTAATAACACCAACAGAATCCAGGAGGATGGCAGCACCCCTAATAGCACTCACAAACGGCGGCAAATGTTTAGGTACTAGACCACTTTTCTTGGCGGTGCTTTGCGTAGTGCACGTAACTGTCCTGCACGCATGCTGCATGCTCCCATTGTAAAACGCCGCTTGTATTTGACTGCCATGTACTTCACCCTGTTAAATAATGTATTGTCAAAAGTCGTTGATGTGAATCAAAGCTTGCTGCAAAAATCTTGAAGTATGTAAACAGAAATGTGCATTCTTGATTGTGTCATGCAAAAAATTATCAATTATTGTGACAATTTTTTGGATAATGAAAAGTATCGGAGATCATCGTTGTGATGACGCCATCGACCATAGTGGTTCAGTCATTGTCGGCGAACACCCAATTTTGGCGTGTGTCCGTGCTCCCGAAACAGAAGCCGGAAGGACAGCGGGCGGCTCTCCAACGGGGGGCGACAGAGCAGCACTGACACGGAGTTGAGGCCCTCGGAGCCCCGGCCCTGGAGCAGCACAGACTCGGAGAGCTCGGGCCACCGGCTGTCACGGCCAGCTGTCACCAAGGCCAGTAGCTTCGGCGGCATCTCAGTGCTGGTACGCGGGGACAGCACCTCGAGCAGCAACAAGAGCTCTGTGGGACGGCTCTCCAAAACCGGTAATATTCTCTTTTCAAATGTAAAGTGATTGTTTTTCTCTTTTCTTCGTGTCACTTCGTAAGACTCAAGTTTGTTGAGTATTATCACTTTGTATTTGTGGGGTTATCACTCTGGGCATTTCATTTTCCTCCCACAGGAGAAATATATTTGGCCAAGCAATGCAAACAGCACCCAAATGTAAATGAGTATTGAGACTCAGAAATGCTTTCCGAATGAATAAAGGAATATGTTAATTAGTCTAAGGCTAACAAGTTTCAAACTAGCTTGTTTGCCCGTCCTAGGACAGAAGCTGAAATATTAAACATGTACATTTACGTTTTCTTGTGTGATTCACCCGCTCATGATTATTAATGACGGGGGGGGGGGGGGGTGCCTCTTTTGCAGTGACGTCACGTACGAATATAGCACTGTGCTGCGTATATTTATTTTTTACCGTCACTTTCTGTAAATAAACGGCTGCGTAGTGTTATTATTTAATTAATTTTCAATAAAGAAACGTTACATTTTAAGCGAATTTCCGCTCGATCTGCGGGAGTGTAAAAATCCACCCGCTCATGAATATTAATGAGGGGGGGTGGGCCTCATGTGGGGTGACATCACGCGGGGGGGTGGGCCTCGTGGAGTGATGTCACGCTCGGGACACACATTCTTGGCTCATTATAGTAGTATGAGAACTACTGTAAAACACAGCCTAACCTTGCAGCATGTCTAAATTTCCCTCCCCACTCATCCCTCAGGCTCTGAGTCATCCAGCAGTGTGGGGTCGTCCTCAGGCTCGCTTGCTCGCCCTGCCGAGACATCCACCACAGCCGCCCCCAGTGTCCCAGGCCCCATGCCCAGTGGCCTCGTTGGCTCGGGAGGGATGGCCGTTGGGATGGGCCCGCCCGCCGCCAGCGGCCCCAGCTATTACCTGTTGCACCTGGACTCAGCGGGCATTCCACCCGGCAGCATTCTCATAAACCCACAGACAGGTAGGCCCTTACACACCTCCCTTACACACCGGCTTCAAAATGAGAACTTAGAAACTGCTTTGGTAGCAGTACATGGGCAAAGGACACAACCACTGCAGTGTCTTCCTAGTGTTTTTATGGCACCTCGTTGTGAATTGTGGTCAAGGCCTTGTCTCTCCTATCTTTGCTGTGAATAACGACTATAGTCTTAATTGTTAGTCTGATACATTTTATTTATGTTATAAATTAGTGTTAATGATGACAGTGATTAGGTGTGTTTGCTCCGTGCTTCACCTGTGAAGTTCATTCATTTTGTAAATAGAACCTTTCACAAAATTCCAAAAGCCAATGACTGCAATAGCTAGCTTTGGTTTTGAAAATTACATTAAAAATCCCCAATATAATTAACATAACATACAAATTAAATAAATGTCACAAAGACAGACTTGCATATAATTTTTGTAATGTATTTTAAATGTTATCAAGTTTAAGTTTGCAATTATTGCACCATCACCATACAATTTGTCATAAGCAAAACATAATTACAGTTCAAATACATTTCTGTATAATCCATCAACCATTTCTATAACATATATAATGAATAGGTAGTAAAATTACATGTCTATTTTATAATGCATCATCCATGGACTTTTGACTAAGTGGGCACTTGCCAACTCTAACTGCTACTGTGTTTGAGAGGTTTGATATTTCTTACGATAGGATTGCCAGGCTTGCTGGACTTGTTCTGCGATCCATTTCACTGAACCCGCTGTTTGCTCCAACAGGGCAGCCGCTGCTGAATGCGGATGGGTCCCTGGCAGTGTACAACCCTCCCACCGGGCAGGTACAGCAACCGCAGCAGCAGCAGCAGCAGCAGATAGCCACACAGATGGTGGGGCCTGGTACCTGCCAGCAGTTGCTCCACCAACGACCAAATCCACAGCAGCGACAGCAACTCCCCCACCAGGCCGCACAGGTGAGGAATATTTCTCTGCACTCAGGCTAAGGCACACAAATACATAATCCCACATACACAACGACACAGATTCCCCGTAGAACCTTATCGACGATTAAGGCAAGTGATGTTACTTAGGAAACGCTGCATGGCACATGAGGCCACACCTGGCCATCTAATTCTCCCTATTGCTGGTATTTACACACCGTACCAGGTACTCATTCAATTCTGAATCAACCTAGAGGTGGCCCAGTACCGTTTCTGATGTCTCTCGCCACTGATGTTCACTGGTAGAAAATTGAACTCAGGTCATCAGGTTCATAGTGGAGTGTGCTAACCACTAGGCCACCACTCTCCATACACACACAATAAACTGGCGCAGCTCTCCCACCAAATTATAGTATGGTACGTTATAACGTGTTTAACCATGGAGATAAAAACGTGGCTCGCAACTAGACTTTGCTGGATGATTGATGCCTTCTGTTGAAGCCAAACAGATGCTAACTTTGACCTTAATCTGTTAAAAACCTTATGTTTACTCAGCTGTCCCAGTAGCTCAGCTGTAGGTGCATTCTGCTTATAAGAAATCAATCTGGAAAAATCAAAGAGTTCTCAACTTGTCGATGCGTAACTCGGCTTTGTGTCTCCTGGGCTGTCCGACGCGAAACTGGCTTTAGCTTCATTAGAAAAAGATATATAATATCAGGCACTCTGGCTTTACTGCTCAAGTGATGTTACTGCATTCATCTTAAATTAAACTATATGGGAATGACATCACAGAAATACTACGAAAATACCATAATTTCTTTAGCACAGTTGGTATGTACGGTGCGAAAGAAGTTTAACATACGTACATAATGACACGCTTCCCTTCAACATTTAAGTCTGTTTTCTCAATTACAAACTCATGTCACACAGCTTGGGATCCACAGCTGAAGTACATAGCTGCAACGTAAGGCCTGTTTTTTAGGTTGTGTCTTTCTCTGCAGTCATCTACTTCTTGGATAAATGAAAATATGATTACATCACTGCTACTGGTGCAATCTGTGATGTCCTGTTCTTGCCCACACGTCCCTGCTGCCCAGTGCGTGGCACTCGCGTCCCAGCCTGGCTCATACCCACTGGCATCCTACGCTCCCAGCACAGCCACCCACCACCCTGCGGCCCCCACGCAGCCGCTAATGCCTGTACTTCACACCCAGCAGCAGCAGCAGTACCACACGGTAAAGCCTCAATATTCCCGGGGTTCGGTATTCCATCACGATGGTGCAGAAGGGGGCACGAGAGCGTAGCTAAAGTTGCTGACTGTTAATTGATGCTCAAATTCTTCATGTTTGCTAAGGGTATGGGTATTGTTTGTGCGACTGTGCTCATGGCTTTCATTAATTCAACACCCAACCCTTGGCCAGGAGCGATGCTGTCCACCTCATGCCACTCACCCATCCCCCCGTCTCTTGCTGTGCTTTTGGCTGAAATCCTGAATGCCTGTAGTATTCCACGCATTCATGCCTATCCCGCAGAAGACAACATGATAAAACTATCACTAAAATGGGATATTCTGAGCTTGATTTACTTCTAGGTTTTATATAATAACATGTTTATCATGTTTATTGTTTCTTCTTGGGTCTATTACAAAGATCATTCAACATTAAATGTGTATTAATTAAATTTCACTTGTTGCTGTATTGCCATCAACTGTCTATGCTTGTGAAGCAAATATGGCAGTGGTTTCCCAACCTTGTGGTCTTCAGACCACTCGTGATCCACATGGCTGTGGGAAGTGGTCCGTGGAACTGTTACGGATACGATTTATTTTTGCAAAACACCATATTTCTACTGCATGGTGGTTCTTGACTTTTTTTTGGGTTGCCCGTGGATCCAAAACCTTTGAGAATTACTGCTTTATAATATGTGAATGAAGGTACTACCCACCTCAACAACGCTCACCTTTTCTTATTCTCTACCACCCTGCAGCCAGAGGAGCTGGGCCCACACTTTGGCCAAATGAGCCTGAATCGTCAGACGTCGGGTGACACGCTGGATGCCATGCAGCCGCACGGCCACGCGGCCATGTGCCCCGTCATGGTGCAGGGCTCCCAGCAGCCTGCCTACATCGGAGTGTCTGGCATCTCAGGCCTGCTGCACCAAGGGGGTTTCCACATGGGAGCGTCAGCAGGACCCACAGGGCAGGGCAGTACTGGGCAGCAGCCAGGCCTCCAGCAGCAGCAGAGCTATGGGCAAGCCCAGCAGCATGGTCAGGTGCGGTACCACGTGCCATATGCATGGGTGTGTGTGTGCATAAATGCATGTGTGAGAGTTGCGTTGTGATTACAATCATTGCAAAGTTGACCAGTCTCGGTATACAAGTCTCAATTGTCTGCAGTTTAAATGTAATTTTGTTTGACTAGTTTGTTGTTTGTAAACAGGTGCAGCCACCAAATCTTGAATTTCTCAGTCTCAATGATGCCCCTGTAAGGCCAAGAATCCCAATTCTAAGTTAAATTGTTTTTGCAATTAGAGTTTTTCTTTGCAACTGTTAAAACACGATACAATTTTTACCAGCGTGTTTTACATTTAAGCCAAGATACATTCATCTCCAAAAAGGTATTTGAAACATTTTAATCATATCATTCACCACTAACGCATGTGACCTCAATCTTCAAATGCATGGGTGTATTTTATATTTCCTGTCCATTAACTCTTTACGTCTAGGTCGCTTCTAACCAATCTTGACGGCTGTTGTCGTTCCATGCAGATGACCGTTTACTTCTGCCCTCCATCCCCATATCCTCCACCGGGGCAGCAGTACCGGGGTGGAGCTACCATGCAGTATAGTGGTTCTCGCGGCCAGCAGCCGAGTGAGGCCACGCACACACACAGACACAAACCAACTTGCTCGAATTTTGTATCCCCACCCACTCATTGTCCCAGAGCCGTGTGCCTGGATGTAGTGTAAATGCTCAGCAGTGTATGCCATAAGATTACAGGAGCCAGGATACCCTTACCACAACACATACAAATTGGGCCATGATGCAGCGTTTTTTGGGTCCACAGATCATGTTATTTGAATGTGAATTGTTTATCTGTTCATCTGCATCCGAAAGTGGTAATTGATGCATTAATTTAGATAAGTCTCTTACGAGAGACGCATGGGCTCATATTGAATGGTCATAGAAGCAATGTGTTTGGATAGGAGTTGGTGTAAGATATCCACTGATTTACTCCATTCATTACCAGTTGCACATGTACATAATATATATGGAGAAACTCATGAATTTCGGTTTAATAATATATCACAGTGGGGTAGTCCAGAGAATATTAACCCTATTCCTAACTGAAGGGTATGTTCACATTGGATAGGCGCTCTAAACGCACTTCAAGAAGCACTGAGGCAGCATCGTCTAACTGATGCATTTGCCCTCGTTCTCATAAAGCCTTTGCTTCTGCCAAAAGGCAGGCATGGAGCAGCAGCTTCGGTGCAAAGGTGAGTGATGATGCCACACATTTGGGCAGCAGCAGCTTTTGGTCCGGAATCCTCCATCATAGACAGGGGTGGCACGTTCAGTGCACGCACACAAGCACACACGCGGGGATGCAGCAGAGCCGTGCGGCCGGGGGTGCCTGAGGAGGAGGCCGCAACGCTGCCTGGGAGTGATGAGCCCTGTCCTCTCACAGTGAACCGGTCTCTTTCCCTGGCAGCCCACAGTGCAGCAGTGCACAGCATCGCCCAGGGGGGGTACTGTGTTGAAGCAAATGAGTAGCTCCTCCACACATAAAATACAATTCAGTGAGCCTATCTTTGTTAGACTCGATAGACATTTTATCATACCATGTGCTTGCTTTTATTGGTAGGCTACCGTTGAATTTTACCAATGCGTTTTTAATGGCTGTTTTATTTGAATATATATGATGTATGTTGTGTGGATTGAATTCCAAGAATACCAGGTAGAATTTATATTTCCGAAACTATATTAAAGGAACTGTAGTGGATACATAGATCTGAAACAAATGTTCCAATATAAGAGCCCATTGGGAGAGAGTCTCTTGCAACACAGAACTGAGATGACTAAAAATATAAAAAATATGGGAGCCGAGGGCATTGTTTGCAAGAAAAATCATAATATAATAATTAAACATTACAGAAACATAACTAAAATATGACAAAAACCTTGTTTTAAAATGCCATTTACACGTCAAAAATGTTGAAACTAAAATACAACAGTTATGGTACATAAATGATTAAAATTCTATAATTGCCTGCTTTCATATATGACAGAAGAAAAGTCTAATAGCGTAACTACTGAAGTATGTTTGGCGCTAGCCTGGCTCGCCCTGAAACGTGCCCAGCCGTTGACGCCGCTCGCCCGTTGTGGACGCGCGCAGGTTATCAGCCCATGAGTGCGGTGCCACAGCCTGCCTACGTGAGCATGCAGCCACCGCCGGGCCAGGGCATGATGCCGGGGCAGCAGGGAGGCCTGGCGCACCCCATGCCTGGGGCCCTGGGAAGTCCAGTGCAGGGGCCCGTTGGCAGCACCTTGCAAGGAATGATGAGCCACTACCCTCCCATGTCGGCGTATCACGTAAGGCGGCTTGATCTACGCTGCTCGCTCACTAGGTGGCAGTAGAGGCCTTGCTCATCGGCATGACTACAGATTACAGTTCTTTGTATTTTCAGATACGATTTAAGAACTTGCTTAATGTCCAGTGAGATGCGAAATGGTTTCTAATGTAAATGGCACTGTAGTACACATGTTGGATGGCTTGTCATGTCAGTTCTAAAGTAATTTGATTGGTCATCGCATACAATCGATGGTTTTGCCAATTATTATATAAGAAATAATGTGGTAATGACGTATTTACGTTTAAAAGTGTCTTTAACACATATCTTAAAAATATATATGTAGATAGTGCATTATTGAGGGTAATACATTTCCAAGATGTGTGCCAGATTCAAGGGTTCACACAATTTGCATTAATTGTGTGCGTTCTCTGCTTCCCTTTTTCATGATGTTTAATCAGATGGCTCAGGCTGCCCCCTTGGGGCCCGTGCCCCCACCCCCTCCCCCTCAACAGCAGTACCAGCAGCCCGTGCTTCTCAGTGGACAGCCCCACGGCACCATGCCTCCCATGTTCTGCAGCATGGGCCAGCCGGCCCTGCAGAGCAATCTAAGGTACACTGCAAACACGATGCCAGTTGGCGTATACCCACTTCTCTAGCTTTCTCTGCCCGACGCTCAGGAAGCTTCGTGGGAGGCCTTTTTGTGTCGGCATTATTCCACTGTAGGCGTGATGTTCAGCCTAATTACCACCTTTGTCAAGGTGCAAATGTATGTCCTGGTGCACTTTCAATTCGTGATATGTCCTTTAACATTATAAAATCTGCAGTAAATAACATTATCCACCTGGACTTCATGCATTATTATCAGTCTCAGATGCTGTGTTTTTTTTTCTTAGCAAAATCGGCCACATGAATGCTTTTAGATACCATCTTCAGCGCAATTGGTGGCATAATCTTTATTCTACCTTCCTGGTGTTTTCTGCTTTATTTATATCATGACCTTTAATCACAATGGAGGAGACCACCCACATGTGTTATGTAAAGAATGCACCTAATTCATCTTGTGTGATGAATGCATTTTTTTATGTTTAGCCAGGATGCATAGATAAGATGTTTAACCTCATGTGCTTGTGTGGCTTTACCCACAGATGTAAAAAGACTTTATAATGTTCCTTATACTTGACCTGTAACGTTCGTTATACTTATAACTGTGAAGATCTCAATTGCTGTGGCCAAGGTGCCAAGACCACCGTTTTGACATCTTCATCGCAGCCTATTGTTTTTAGTGTGACAAATGTAATCAGTTCAAGTCATACAAGGAGCGTGTCTGTTTATTTGTCAATCTAGAAATCTGGATCATGGTCTGTCTTGCAAAATAATCGTATAGTCTCAAGTAATTGTCATCTTAGTCAAAGTCATGGATTTATTCAAAACAAATACTACTTGGAAAAAATATATTTCGAAGGCTAATCAAACAATAGATTAAATTATTTTCTGCTGTCTAGTTAATCAGACTTCCCTACCTTTTTAATTTAGTTTCATTTTCTAAGTCTGTTTTAATGGCCTTTTGCCAAATAGCATATGCTTACCCTGCACATTCTGGTGTTAATTTGTGTCGTGATAATCGGCCACCAGTGGTTCAGTTCTAGGCTACCTGCAGCCCCCTGGCATGGAGCAGCTGCAGTTTCCAAGAACTCAGTCCCCCGCCGCCTCCCAACCCCCGCACGGGCAGCACTACGCAGGTGAGACCTTGGCGTCACAGCCACTGCACAGTGCCACCATTGTACACCAGAGAATACGTGCCTTGCTCATCATTAGCTGCATGTGTCTAGGGGCAATGGTTTTCAGCAGGTCAGTCCGGTCTGGACTGACTTCATCAACTCTGTGCCTTGTTTACATTACCGAAAGGAATGTTCTTTCCAGCACTCTTATGTATTTTCAGGTGCTACCCGCACGATACCTGACGTTCTCTCCAGTCTTTGTGTGTGGCAAAATACCTTGTGTTTGTCAGCAGGGAGTCGATAATGGCATGTACATTTTTCCTTCTAACCTTGGGGTTTTGGTGATCATAGCCATACATTTTATGAGTCAACCTGGTTCTCAGGCTGACTATATGACCACTGCATTCTGCTTTCAGTTATTACCAATTCTGTTATGACCACTTGTTTAGAACTTGTTTTAGCATTAAAATGGGTTTGATGTTCCATCTCCTCTGGTCTACTGGGAATTATTCAGACCAAGCTCCTAAGTGTTAGCTAAGCTATTGAGGCCAAGGATTCTGAAGAATGGATCCATTTATTACATAAACTACTCATTCCAATGAATGGTAACAGTGAAATTAAAGGGGAAAATTCTGAAAAATGTCTTAAACACAATAAAGCATTAACAAATCAGGTCGATCACAAACTAAAACAACAGCATTCTGGCACCTGTTCTATTTAATTTGTTTTAAACAATAACGTTTATTTGAAACTGGGATGGAGAAGCTCTGAGTGTAGATTTTTGAATTTCCATTGAACAGCAGGGTGTTGATTAATGAAATGTCTGCTGCGTGTGCATGTTTGTTTAATGTCTGCCTTGCACGCCCAGTGTTCGGCTACGTACAAGGACAACGGCCGCCCTCACCACTCGTGCAGCAGCACCAGCAGCATCAACATCATCACCATGGGCTGGCGCAGGCTCACAGGGGCCCGTCCGCAAGCCACGTTCCAGCGGGACTCTCTGGAGGCCCACCTACTGCCGCGCCGGCATCGCACATGGGCTCTAAGTCCCCGCCCACGGCGCTCACCCTCGTGCCAGGTGCGCGCATGCCGCGGTCAGTGGCCCAGCGTGCCCGTGTCAGAGGACGTCCTTTCTGAATAGAGGACCTTCGAGCTCGTTCAATCCGCTCAGCCAGGCACATGGCAGCCGTTAGGGCCCCAATTTGCAATATATTGTTCCTAGATCACGTGCGTGACACCCGCCTGCATGGCCGTGAAGTTAAGACATTTCAGAGTTTTGTTCACCTACCTATGCATATTGTTGAGTATTCCCATTATATGAGTGGGATTTCTACAGGTATTCAAGTTTCATCCCACACAGAATACTTGGCAGAGAGTTGGCCAAATATCCTATGTAAGACCCGCTTGAGAGAAGTGTCTTCAGACTTATTTGAGGTAAATTGGTAAATAAAGCTCTTGTCTTCGATGTTATATTTAAGTAAATGTGCTGCTATGTAATGCATGTTAGGTGAATGTTAATGCAGAGTAATTCGGTAAATACTGTTACTTCACTTGTTTTTATTGGGGTAGTTTGTATCTCATGGTTCTTGCAATACTTTATGGCACAAGGCGCACTCTTAAGCAAGTCAAAGCACAGGCGTTCTTACACAACAACTAATCCAGCGTAAAATGTCTCGATTTTAGCAGAACACAATTGATGCCACAGAATCAGAGACGTAGGTGCGCGCACTGTGTGTAAAGTGTACACATCACCGTAAACATTTGTAATGCAGAGAATGTTTTGTTGCAAATTTCATAACATTAAAACTATTGAGGTATTCCTCATCAGAGTGGGCTGTTTTTTTTCTGCTCAAGATAAGCGGGTGTATCTTGTCTTTGAAGGTGTAAAATCCATTTTAAATCCATATGACACGTTAGCTTCGATTGCTGCTTGCATTTCTGCAGCTCGTGATGAGTTGTACTGCACAAAAACTCTCAACCAGGTAGAGGCATCCTCAGGGAGAGGGTTAGATGAAACCTGTCTGCTGCAGAAACTACATTTCCATATCCCGTGGGCTTGTGTGTCCTTTATGAAGGTCGAACAGGATGATAAATTAATAAACAAGCCAACTTCCACTCCTGAATACGTTATAAACAATATAAAATAATGCGAATAAGCAGCCGCTGACCGATTTGAACGAACTACAGAAAATAATACAAAGCAGCATGAACCCAGGTAGTCTTGTTTTACATGAGAGTTAGTGTTTTGATAGAAATGTGTCACCCTCATTTGCTGCATATAATTAATGTAAGTTGTGCATAAAATAACATGATTATTTAGTCAGGAAAGCTTGGTTTCAATAATTTTTCATGATACCCTGTTTTGGGATATGTAACCCATTAATTATGAGGTGTTTGTGTGTTTATGTGGGACAAAATCTGAGTACCCAGAGAATCCACACTCTAAAATAACAACCTACTTGGACTACTACCTAGAGGAACCTCACTATCAGGTGGTTTGTACGCATAATCCCTGCATCACCCACCAACCCTACCTTGAAGTGATTGGATCACAAAGGTGTGTTTGCGCTGGCTTACATATCCTTGTAACGTTTTGCTTCTATTTGTTTCATGCTTTGCACAAGCTTAGGCCATTGCTGTTCCATCTCATTAAAAAAATCACATTTGATCATTACCTGTGTAATAAGTGGCTCCGACACAGTACGTAACTTCAAGGTATTTATTAAATCTTCGGTACAGCCACTTCTCTCTCTCCGCGGATGTCGACCCGCTCTCGTGGCTGCGCTGCCCCGCGCCACGTGGCACTCACCCCGCTCGCTAACGCACCGCTGGCTGGTGGCGCGCTATGGAGCGTCTGGAGGTCGAGCCGCCACGTGGCAGGTGGAGATGGCGGGGCAGCAGCGGCGGGGAGCTCCTCTTTGATTTTCAAAACACCGACCCCTAATGTTGCTGTACCCCCTGCTTATATTCACTCCTCGGAGGCTAAGCCCCGCCTCTGGCCACGCCTCCCCTGGAACCTTCGAGAACGTTCCAGAGGCTTCTCTGCTCGATCCGCCCATTCACCTTTCCCCCAGAGAGAATCCCTACAATGGATAATACGTGGACTGTATCAATCTGTAAATGTAACCCCCACAATAATGCCCCCCCCCCCCCCCCCCCCCCCCCCCCCCCCCCCCCCCCCCCCCCCCCCCCCCCCCCCCCCCCCCCCCCCCCCCCCCCCCCCCCCCCCCCCCCCCCCCCCCCCCCCCCCCCCCCCCCCCCCCCCCCCCCCCCCCCCCCCCCCCCCCCCCCCCCCCCCCGTGATGAAAAAATCGAGCCGTCCCGGCTAAGGAAGGATAAAAACGTAATACGGAGCGCCATCAGCAAATGAGCATAGAACCCAACAAGGTTGGAATAACAAAAGAATACGGGATGCCCCAACAATCAACACGTAACGACAACAATGCTGAATAGGAAAAAGGACACGCACGTGAGAGACCAAAGTCCATCAAGAAAACCGCAACGTCTTTGAGTGTGTTCGCCTAGCCGGGCCATCTGCCTGAGGCGGAACCAACGCAGGAACACCCCCAGGTGGAAGCAGCGGTCCAGTAGGGGGAGACACAGCCGGATCCAAAGTAGGTGGGCATGGCAGGATAAGGGCGTCCACCGGTCCTGCCGTCTCACTCAAGGGCGCTGTGGGCGGTAAAGAAACAAACTTAGGAGGATCACCTCGCACAGGGGTAGCAGGCCGGTTGGACACGTCAGGCACTGGGAACCCGGAATCTGGAGATGACGATGGCCCAACAGTAGCAACAAACGGCTTCAATCGCGACGGGTGAACAAACGAACGCCGGCGGCCGTGACGAATGCGAACACACTGCGGACGCAAAACCTCAACAATCGTCACCGGGCCCTGCCATGGTTTGTGGAGCTTAGAAGAGGTGCCAACGGGCACCTGCGGGCAATGAAGCCATGCCTCGTCCCCAACAGACCATGGCATGTCACCTTTGGATCTCCGCGCATAACGTTCATTTCGTGCCTGGGTCCTGGAGGTATTCAACCTGGCAATCTCCCGCGCCTCAGAAACCCGTCTAAGGAACTCTTGAACATGATCGGGAAGAGTCGTCTTAGGAGGCATAACCGGAGAACCCAATTGAACATGAACAGGTGGCACATTCTCCCTCCCGTACATGAGGAAGAACAGAGAATACCCCGTAGAAGCGTGTGGCGCCATCCGGTAAGCAGAGAGGACACTGGGTATCTGCAAATCCCAGTCAAGCTGCCGCTCATTGACTGTTTGGCATAGCATGGCGGACAAAGTACGATTCAACCGCTCAACCATACCATCCGCCTGAGGATGGTGGCGAGATTTACTAATCTTGCTGGTCCCCAAGGCACTGCAAACATCACGCAAAAACTTGGAAGAAACGTTCTTACCCTGATCGGTGAGCAACTTTTCCGGCGCCCCTTTATCCATCACGTAGCCATTCACAAAAGCATCAACGATGGATAAAGCCGATTGATCTGGCAGGGGCCAAGCCACAGGCCAACGAGAAAAATATTCAACACCGACGAGAATAAATTTATTCCCGCGAGGTGTAACAGGGAACGAACCCAACACATCCAAGGCAACCAATTCATTAATGCGCGTGACCGAAATGGATTGCAAGGACAGAATATAACGTTGCAGGGGCGATTTCCTCCGGGCACACTCGGTGCACGATCAAAGTGCACTTCGGAAGTCAGACATCATGCCAGGCCATATAATAATCCCTCTGCGGAGTGAGCAACGTTTTCTGAATGCCAAGATGGAAAAGGTGCTCACTATGCAATGAGCGGATCAAACCCGCACGTAGAGAATCCGGCACAACCAATCGGAGCCGGCGCGTCGTGTCATCCTGCCACATCAACAACCCCTCGTGAACCAAAAATTGACCCGACTTAATAGAATCAGAATCACCCGCGGCCGGTACAGGCAATTGCCGCAAGGAGGTCAAAGAGTCATCTGAAAATTGTTCGCGCAACCACACCGAAGGTGGGAGGCACAACACACAATCGGCAGGGGGAACCCCCGTTTCACCTGGAAGCGTCTCAACTGCGGACATGACGAAGGGCCGAGACTCTTCATGGGGAGTACAGCGTTTCGTACCAGAGCGGCAAGGACAGCAAGACACGTGTGATAACCACGACAATGCGTCAGCATTAGCATGACGAGCTCCCTTCCGGTAGGCGACATCAAATGTAAATTCCTGCAAGCATGATCAGTGTGGATAACAAACCTGCCATATAAATAGGCTCGAAAAAGTCGCACAAAATGAACGATCGCCAGCAACTCCCGACGTGTGATGCAATAGCGGGTTGTCGCCGGCGAGAGCACCCGACTACCGTACGCGACGATGCGTTCAACGCTCCCCTTCATCTGTGATAGGACAGCCCCGATGCCCGTGTCGCTGGCATCAGTGTCAAGGATGAAGGGGGACGAAAAATCAGGGTAGTCGAGAGTAGGCGCGTCAGACAACCGATCCCGCAGGGTATTGAACGCAGCCTCCTCCTCGGGTCCCCAGCGAAAACGCTGATTCTTAGCTGTGAGCGCATGCAATGGTTTCGCAATGGAAGCGAACCGAGGGATGAACCGGCGATAATAGGAGGCGAAAACCAACAAAGCACTGTACATCTCCCACACTCTCGGGAACTGGCCAGTCACGAACGCACGCCGTTTTGGTAGGATCGGTAGAAATGCCGTCCGCACTCACAATGTGGCCCAAATATCAAATGGAAGTCTGCAAGAGGTGACACTTTTTAGTCTTGAACTTGAAATTCGTCGAGCGCATCCGCTCAAAAACAGCGCGCAGCCAGAGAAGGTGGTCATCAAATGACCGGCTGAACACAATAACATCGTCCAGATAAATTAAGCACGTGTCCCACTGGAGACCGGCCAGGACGAGCTCCATGAGTCGCTGGAACGTGGCAGGAGCAGTGTTCAATCCCATCGGTAAACAAATTGAAAGAGGCCTTGCGGAGTTCGGAACGCAGGTTTCTGCCTCGAAGACTCGTCGAGGGGCAGTTGCCAAAACCCAGAAGATAAATCAAAAGTCGAGA